TATGTATATATATATATATATAAAACCTTATGTTTACATATAACAACAACAACCAAGGCTGTTACAAAGCCGTAACACAAATGGTACAAACATTTCCTATCATTTATTGCAGCGCTGTGATGAGTATGAATTAGAAACACATCTGTTTTCTTCAAAAAGCCACTGAGCAATTGACTTAAAATAACCACAGCTTTCTCTGGAAACTTCCCTGCTTTTCAGAATCCACATTACTGTCGCATAGGGAGTAACGTGAAGAGGTGAATCTTTCTTTTGACGCCTGCTGGTCGATGTCTGTATTGGTATTGGTGGTGGGTCTGTGTTTCAGGAGCCCAGGCCTGTGTTCTGGTGTTTTCCACCACGGACAGGGAGTCCTTCAAGGCCATCCCCACCTGGAAGGAGAAGGTTGTGAGCGAGGTTGGAGACGTTCCCACCGTGCTGGTGCAGAACAAGATCGATCTCCTCGACGACTCCTGCGTAAAGAAGTAGGAGGTTTACGCTGCTGGTTGTAAAGAACAACACGCGCCCCTCTGTGCACGCGTGTGCTTTGGGCTTCCTTCTTTAAAAATCTATGGGAGCTTCTGGTGAATCATTTTTGGTTTTATTTCCCCGCTGATCCTCAAACCGGAGGTGTTCTTTCCCATTTAAATTCACAGTTGCAAGCTGCAGTGCACCAGTGGAGTCACACTGTCCAGTTCGGCTTGAAATGCTGAGCAAGTTTTAAAGGGGTTGCTTGAAATAATAATATTTTTGAATAATTATTCTTTTTAATAATATTTCTTAATATTTTTCCTTCACTTATTACTTTTCCTTGCTCAATTGAATCAAAGCATGATACCTGCAGCAATACACACCTGTTAATATCCTCAAGCCCCACGGTGCTGACCCCCTCACTGTATTTTTCTCCTTACCGATGTTACTGTCCGTCCATTCTGCCTCTGTAGATGTGACCGATTTCACCCTTGCCATAAAACCAGCTTAACGAACGCCGCCTTTTATTTACCACAGCAAATCGTGTGGGAAATGTTGCATGACGGAGTTGATCACCCCCCCCCACCTCTTTATTTCTGCTGTTTTCCTGAGACTGAAATGATTTCTCCTTGCTTCCTGCGCTGTCTCTGTGTTCTCTGTTTGCTCTCATTGGTTGCATAAATCAGCCTCTGCAGCGAATACTGAGGATTTCCCAAGGGAAAGGCAAAATTGCATTTGAGCTCCTGCTTTATCCATGGTACGTCGCTTGGGCTTCGCTCTCATGTGCTCCATCTGCCTCAGTAATCTTCCTCTTGATGCCTTGGGGAAGTTGTCCTAAGTTTCCTCGGCTTTTCCTTAAAACGATTTCAGCCGTTTATTACTTCACCTCTGCACTTTGCTGGTTGCAAAGCCCGCTGCTTTGTTAAGCCATACCCACATTAAAACAGACCTGGGGCGTGCTTTGGTGGCGGCGTTTTGCCCCTGCAGCGGCGCTTGCTCTGATTTTAGTGCTGTCACAGCCTCCTGCCTTCTGCTTTCACTGACCAGACCTCAAACCCCCGGGAAGTTCTAGATAATGAAGTCAATAAATAGTGAAAAGCAGTTAACTTGGGGCATAAAGAAGCTGCATGTAAAAACACCTCCTTGTTATAGTGGAGGTCTTGTAAAGAAATTAATGACTGGGTATTTTCGGATTGATTTTTCTTAACCCGCCTCGCCATGTTTAAACTTAACACAAAGCGTTTTGTCCACAAGAATCAAATAATGAATTGCTAAATAAGTTTGATAAATAGTTCAAATGGTTCTTTACAACAAGTCTTCTTCTGTTTGCAGCGAAGAGGCCGAAGCGCTGGCGAAAAAGCTAAAATTGAGGTTCTACCGAGCGTCCGTGAAGGAAGACCTGAACGTAACCGAAGGTATTTCCCAGCAGCACATGTCAGGCACAGCTGGAATTAGTGGTGCCAGGGTGACATCAGGGCGTCAGGCCTGGCTTTTGGTGCATCTTCCACAGACAGGGCACAGCTTTGGGACTGGGGAGTGCGGGTCTGTTACGGCTGCTCGGTCCTAATGCCCATCAGGGGGCACCGAGCTTCAAAGGAAATGGAGTAAAAGTCCAATTATTGCAATGTAGAAACTGCTGAAGAGGTTATTTCGTCACTGTTAATAAATAATTGACGTAAAATAGTGTAGTTCTCTGTTACCAGTTCCCAGGTATCACTTTTTAATGTATAATTCAATAAGAGTGCTGTTAGAAAATTCAGTCAGTGTCTTTTGTGGGGTAGGTTTGAGTAATCCTGAATTGCAGTCACCGATAACTTCTTTAATCAGGCAAACGTTATAGTAAACTTAATAGTTTCTGCTCCGTTAACATCAATCACCTTGGAAAAAAACACCTGCAAGAGATGATCTGTGTCATCTTTAAACGAGTTATTAATTCCAAACGTAAATGATGGCAGCGTATTGGCTCTGAAAATTCTGCAGTTGCAGATTTTCTCAGGACCGTGGGTAGACTCTGTGCCCCACGACAGATGAGGGTGGCATTAATTAATCAGGAAGAAGCTGCTGCCAGGTTTCCTCAACGGCCTTTCTTCCTGTGGCCGCTGTTTTTGTAAGGCTTCTTGCAAAGAACTGGGTATGAAATCGCTACGTGATTTTTAAAAGTCCCAAGCTGTGTGAGCTGGAGCATTGGCAACGTGCGCCAGCTTTATTAAGATGATCCAGATTCATTTTAAGCGTATTCTGATGCGCTTTATTTTCTTTCCAACGCTGCAGTGTTTAAGTATCTGGCTGACAAGTACCTCCAGAGGCTGAAGCAGCAAACAGCCGAAGACCCAGAGCTGGTGCACGCGAGCAGTAACAAGATTGGTGCGTATTTTGGGACAGGAAACTCGATTTTATGCCACCAAAGCCTGTGTTTCCCTGTGGAGTCACAGAATCACAGAACCGCTCGGTTGGAAAAGCCCTCTGAGATCATCACGTCCAACCGTTCCTGTCTACCCCCTAAACCATATCCCTAAGTACCTCGTCTACCCGCTCTTTAAACACATCCAGGGATGGGGACTCCACCACCTCCCTGGGCAGCCTGTGCCAGCTTCTGACGACCCTCTCAGGAAAGAACTTCCTCCTTAGCTCTGACCTGAACCTCCCTTGGCACAGCTTGGTGCCGTTTCCCCTTGTTCTGTCCCCCATCACCTGGGAGCAGAGACCAGCACCCACCTCTCCACAACCTCCCTTGAGGCAGTTGGAGGTGGTGATGAGGTCTCCCCTCAGCCTTCTCTTCTCCAGGCTAAACAAGCCCAGTTCCCTCAGCCGCTCCTCATCAGGCTTGTTCTCCAGAGCCCTCCCCATCCTTGTGGCTCTGCTCTGAACACGCTCCAGAATCTCCACATCCTTCTTCTAGTGAGGGGCCCAGAACTGAACAGTCAAGCCCTGGTGAATCAGGCTCCAGTTATTGCCATTGTAGGATATCCACTCCTTTCCTTCTCCAGAATCACTGGGTGGCTCTGAAGTTGCCTGACTGTCCCGGGGATGTCCTGACATTTCCAGCCCATGTTTGACAACTGCCCTTTTATTACATTTGCTTCAACAAGCGATGTGTAAGGACCGGAGAGCGGATGCTTTTGGGGTTTTTCATGTAATTGCTGTTTGTGTTGCTCACCTCGGGGTGGGTTTACAAGAGACTCAGAGGGAAGGAATCTGGCGTGGAAGCAGGAGGTCTTTGTAAACTGCCTTTTGTAGGGGAATACCAACTCCTGCAGCCCTTTTGAAGCATTTCTGAGTCAGGTCTTTCCTTTTCCTTAAAGCACTCCCTTCTTGGTCAGGCTTTTTCCCTTACCATTATCTCAGCAAAGTGTCTAACCTCAAAGTTGTCTTGTTTTTCTTTTATTGTATTACTCAGCCAACCACAGCTTGGTTACCCTGCAATTAGCAGCGTACACGAGTGCATCTGCTGCCCTTCAATTACACAGGGCATGTAATTGTGTATACATATATATATACACACACATACACATATATCAGCTTTAAATACTGCCTGACCAGTCATTCCAGCTGCCTCTGCTTCAAGTTTAGCTGCAAAATTGACCCAGAAATCAAGCCTTTAAGAACTGGAGCGTGCATCTGAGGCGCACTCCTAAGCCTTAACGTGTTACCATTACTGATGCAGTAAGTGCTCAGCGTTAATGCCTCGTGCTGCAGGTACTAGAGTACTTTTCTCCTTCCTTTCTGCAGGTGTTTTTAACACGGCGGGCGGGAGCCACCCCCGCCAAAACTCCTGCGCCCTGAACGGCGGGGACGTCGTCAACCTGCGGCCGAACAAGCAGAGGACCAAGAGGAGCCGAGGGCTCTTCAGCAGCTGCAGCGTGGCCTAGGGCGCCGCGGGGGGCACAGCCGGGGACGCTGCGGGTGAGGCGGCGCGGTGCCAGAACGGTTTTTACCAGCAAACCTCGTGCCTGCGGGGCCCTCGGCGGAGCTGGATTCACACTCGCAGGGCGAGACGCTTGGGGGGGGCACGCAGAGGCTGCCCCCGGCCCCCCTAAGTCAGGCACGCTTCTCCTTTCTGGAGGAATCTTTACAGAGCTATCGACTGGGTTAGAGCACATTTAACGGGAGGATAGCGCCCGCGGGCGTGGGTACGGACCAGGACGCTGCGGCCCAAGGTGAAGCAGCAACCTTGCATTTCAAATAACGCGTTCAAATTGGTTGGACGTAAATGGAGAAGAAAAAGCAGCGCTGCCTTTTACACCCGACTGTGTCCATGCTGGCAGCTCTGCGGGTGCAATATGTTTGTGTTACATAGAAGAGTCAGGTTTACGTGTAAACATGGTATGAATATTTAGGCCGGGTTCCAGTGTGTACGTTATTGGCGATCAGCAAATGATGATCAAATAGCATCTCCCCCCCCCCA